AAATATTTTATGTAGACTTCGTCTATTTAAACCAAAGCTTAAATGAGAGTTACTTGATGATTATCCTTTGAAGGAACATTTAATGGAAATAAATTTGTATGTGTAAAGAACCTTGGGATACACCACCCCAAAAGCTAGCTCAAGGGGTGGGAGTGCCCAAGGCCTTATAAAGGCCATATTAGTTGCCCATCCAATCAATGTGAGACTATATATCTCAACACGCCCCCTCACGCAAGAGCCCTTTAGGCTAGAAGCGTGGAATTACACAGGCCCAATTTTTGGTTTACCTTTTTGTGCTTTTTATTTTAATCCACTTTAAAGTGGGGGACGGTGAGGCTCTGATACCATGTAAAGAACCTTGAGGTCACCACCCCAAAAGCTAGCTCAAGGGGTGAGAGTGCCCAAGGCCTTATAAAGGCCATATTAGTTGCCCATCCAATCAATGGGATTAGAGCCTAAGAACACACAAGCTCCTGAGGTAGATCTTCTGTCATCAGGATCAGAACCCCAGTCAGCATCACAAAAGGCTACAAGGGAGAGAGGCTGTAGGTTGGAAGGAGCATGAAACAGAAGACCAAATGAGATGGTGCCTTTAAGATAACGTAGAATCCTCTTAACAATTTTCCAGTGATCTTGCAAAGGCTGAGAGAGAAATTGACAAACTTTGTTAACACTAAAAGCAATTTCTGGTCTAGTGAGGGTGGCATATTGCAAAGCTCCTACAATGGACCTGTAGAGAGAGGGATCAGGAACATAGTTGGCACCATGCTTGCTGAGTTTACAACCACTTGGCATAAGAGTTGAGATACCCTTTAAGTCTGTCATACCAGCCTTATGCAACACATCTTTAATATACTTGGACTGAGATAGGAACAAGCGACCATTAGAGAGAGACTTGACTTCAATGCCAAGGAAGTAGTCCAGGTTACCAAGTTGTTTGAGAGCAAACTTGCAGTTTAACTGATCTGTCAGGTGCTGAATCAGATCAAGATTGCTACCAGTGATGATAATGTCATCTACATAGACCAAGACATAAATACAGTGACCATTTGTGCGAAGAATGAAGAGAGATGGATCACACTTGCTAGAAACAAATCCAAGTTGATGTAAGGCTGCCTGAAACTTCTCAAACCAGGCCCTAGGAGCCTGTTTGAGACCATAGATGGATTTATTCAGCCTGCAAACTAGTGACTTATCAGCAACCTCATAGCCAGGAGGTTGAGTCATGTAGACTTCTTCCAAGAGCTCTCCATTGAGAAAGGCATTATTAACATCAAGTTGCTTCAAAGGCCAGCCATGAGACAATGCTAAGGTGAGCATGATGCGAACAATGATAGGCTTGACCACAGGAGAAAAGGTTTCACCGTCCCCCGCTTTAAAATATCCCAAGGTTCTTTACATGGTATCAGAGCCTCACCGTCCCCCGCTTTAAAGAGTGGAATTAAAATAAAATAAAAAAAGCACAAAAAGGTAAACAAAAAATGGGACTGTGCAATTTCCACGCTTCTTGTCTAATGGGCTCTTGCGTGAGGGGGCGTGTTGAGATATATAGTCCCACATTGATTGGATCGGCAACTAATATAGCCTTTATAAGGCCTTGGGCACTCTCACCTCTTGAGCTAGCTTTTGGGGTGGTGTATCCCAAGATTCTTAACAGTATGTGATTGAAAAACTCTTATGATATAAATATATAAACAACATAACCATACATATTTTTAAATTAATATAAAAATATTATATGATTAAACTTAAATAAAATTTTAGTTAACAAAAATATTACTCCCACCTTTAATTTTTTTCTAAAATACGAGGGAGTGTGAAATCTTATACACCTTTGAATGCCGATTGACTTATGTTTATTGGGCCGAGTTACATTGGGCCAATAAACTAAAACCCGATATGAAAGATATTAAGATGGGTGGTCCACTCCACTTATTAATGAATGACCGTTTGCCCCCTAATAATTTGAATTGAACCACATAATTTAATTTTTTTTAGGAATGTTATATTTATAATTTTTTTTTTACAACTTCTTACAATTATATCTTAACATTATTGATTTTTGTCAATCAACGATTATTATTTCGCAAATTAAATTTATTAATTAATTATTAATTTCTAATAAATTGTAACCGTTGATTGACGAAAATCAACGATGTTAAGATATGGTTGTAAAAAAGAAAAGTGGTAAATATAAACTTTTCTCATTTTTTTTTAAAAACTATGTAAAATACATTTCATAACAGTAATGAATTGAATTTTACACTTTCTGCAAGATTTAACTTAACCTCGTAAAATAAAGAGTTATAATTATTAACTAAAAAATAGAAGTTGGGATTATAGTAACAAATATTTATATCATATTTTTTTTTTTAAAAATAACATTAATTATTTAGTCATAATTATAATTTTATTTTGTAATTAATAATTATTATCATAATATAAGAATCGAAATTATTTCGTCATATTATTTAAGTTAGCAGTTATCCGTACCTCGAAGTTAGAACTTGAAAAAATTGAATACGAGAAACGCGATGAATGGTCTAAAGAGTAAAGCGTTTGTCTGACCCAGCCGTTCAGTGCTATACTTTGACTAGATTCACGTTTTTTACAATTTATTATTACTATTATTAAAAAATATTAACTCCCCATCATTTTTATTCTCACATTTTTCATACCTATAAATGTGATAAAATCAGAATATATATATATATATATATATATAATAAAAATCAAATGATAAAATTATATAAATAAAATAAGAGAAAAATGTTTCTGAAGTTAATGCAGATAAGTTATCTGCAATTATTCCCAAAACGACATCGTTTTGATATTGAAATTTTAAAAAATTATAAATATAAAGACTATTATAATCCTGAAATAAATTAAAATTACAAATACACCATGATTTTTGCCCCAAAACGACGTCGTATTGAGCTTAATCCAGATAACTGCAAAAAAAGCGAATCAATAAAATAATATATAAACTAACTATTCTTTTTTTGCAATTACTGCAGATAATATATCTATAGTAAATTTAATATGACGTGATTTTAAGGTAAAAATCATAATATTTTTATAATTTTAATTTATTTAAGAGTTATTATAATTTTTATAATTATAACTTTATAATCTTTTAATCTCAATGATGTCATTTTAAAAATAAATGCAAATAATTTATTTACGTTAATTTCATAAATGTTTTTCTGATAAATTAATAAACCCATATCCATTATTATTTGTTATTATTATCAATGGCATCTTTTGCCTTTATGATATTTGGTTTTGGGTTTTGACCACTTTTTTGACAATAAGAGAAAGATGGACATGTCCTCGTGCACTTGCTTGCCCTTTCTTGAGGCCACTGATTAAGGTGCACGCTCTCTGTTCATCAAGTCTGCGTTCTTTTGTGGTCCTCCTTGATTTTGATTTTGTGCAGAGTGAAATAATAATATTATAGATCATTTCACAAGGCGGGATCGAGGAATCACGTATTTCGAGCGTATCGCTCATAATCACAAAAGTATAGACCACCCTAACATATTTTCCTTATCATGATGACATGTGACAACTCGGTCAGAGAATTGGATTATCAAAATTAATTACACCCACGTCGCGAAAAAGTTTAAAGCTGATGTGCATAGTAATGAATAGAAAATATTTATGTAATTAATGTAAATAAATTATTTGTATTTATTTTTAAAATGATATTATCTGTATTTACTTTTAAAATAACGTCGTTTTGAGATTGAAATATTAAAAATTATAATTATAAAGACTATAATAATTCTGAAATAAATTAAAATTACAAAAACACTATAATTTTTGTCCAAAACGACGTCGTATTGAACTCACTGTAGATAATTTATCTGGAGTAACTGCAGAAAAAATGAACTCAATAATGAATATGTAAGATTTCATTCATTTATTTTTTTAGTAATTATTCACATTATTTTAATTTTCTTTTTAGAAATATTTGTTTAAATATTAATCTTTTTCAAAATTAGTTCAACGAAAATTTAAATCAAACGCATCCTAACTCTGTTCAAAGTTGGAAAAGGAAAACTTTATACCTTTATTATAACGGGAATAGTAAATAGTATTTTTTTTATACATAATTTTATTTTTTATGCACATATAGAAATGTATGAGATTTATATATATTTTTTTTCTCTTTACATTATCTTATATGGGTCTCACATATTTTATTAATATATAAAAGATAAAATTATCTCTTATAACTTAAAAAATATTAATCTCTATTATAATCTGTATTTTTTGAAAAACTAAATTTTGCGTTGAACAATAACCAAACACTTTAGGAAGTAAAAGAGAAAGATAATCTTTTTAATTGTCCTTGTTTATTATTCAAAATACAGGAAACATCCGCGAAGAGAGTAATCTTCAAATTTAAATAATAATACCCTGTCTTGGTCCCGTAACTGAATTTTCATTTTGAATGGCATCTATTTTACCTTTTTGACTATCTGTCCCAGGATGCGTCTTCAAGTTCAAGATTGTCCCTTTTCGGGGCCACAAGACCCCACAATTAATAGATAGAGAATCAAACTTTTTTATCAGATAAAAATGTAAGAACTACCGCACTGTGTCACTGACTCAAAACTATGTGACTGCACGTGTGTTGCAGGGCCAGTCCCTTGTTGAAAAAAATAAAAAATAATAATAATATTAAGATAAATTGAAAAAAATAAATAAACCAAATAATTCTGCCCCAGATAAGTACTAATGCACACAATGCAAGCTTTTTTACTTCCTTTCATATCAGCCCCCTCATCCCAGTTTCAAACTCTCTATCTTTCTCCTTTGGTAAATTGAGTTTTATTTTGTTCTTCTCATGAAACCTTTATTACGTTCTGTTGCTTTGTTCATATTATGATCTGGGGTTGATGATATCTTACTTTTTGGGGAGCTTGAAGAGGAGGGTAGCTTTGGTTTTAGGGAAGAAAATTAAGATTCAATCATGTCTTTGATGATGAATAAGCAAGGTAACACTTTTTGACCGTAGAAAGCAAGAGAGAGTGTGGAGAAAAGGTTGTACCTTTGACAGGCATTTCTTTCTCTCAACCTTTTATTTCATTGCTTCTTTCTCCCTTTCTATATTTCCACACGCTTCTTATCCTTGCTGATTGGGGTCCCTTCTTCATTCTTCAACCCAAAATTTTGTTCTTGGAAGCTTTATTTGAGCTTCAACTTGTCCCAATTGTACTCACTTGGTTTATACAACAAAAGGGTATGCAATGATGCTTGATGAGGATATGAAGCTTGATGCTGTTCTTGGTCTAGAAACCACCGTGAAAGGTGGTGTTTTGGGTGGCAGCGCCATTGGCAAATTAGATCTGAAGGTGATGATTGAGGAGCTGGAATCAATTGATGTGCCCTCAGTGTTTATCTGTCCAATCTCACTGGAACCAATGCAAGACCCTGTGACCCTTTGCACTGGTCAAACCTATGACAGATCCAACATCCTCAAATGGTTCTCAATTGGTCACAACACTTGTCCCACAACAATGCAAGAACTTTGGGATGATTCTGTCACGCCCAACATGACTCTCAGCCACTTAATCCTCACTTGGTTCTCTCACAAGTACTTGGCCATGAAGAAGAAGCTCGAGGATGTGCAAGGAAGAGTCTTGGACCTCTTGGACACGCTCAAGAAGGTAAAGGGTCAAGCTAGAGTTCGAGCTCTTAAGGATCTTAGGCAACTTGTTGTTACTCATGGGTCTGCAAGGAAGACAGTTGAAGAAAATGGTGGACTTGCTTTGGTTTCTTCTTTATTGGGTCCTTTCACTTCCCACGCTGTTGGGTCTGAAGCAATTGGGATCCTTGTGAATTTGGATTTAAGTTCAGAGTTGAAGAGGAATCTGATTCATCCGGCTAAGGTATCACTATTGGTTGATATTATGAATGAGGGAACAATTGAGACAAAGATGAACTGTGCCAAATTGATTGAAATGTTGTTGATGGAAGGGAATGGCACTGAGATTGAGATTTTCTCAAGCTTGAGTCTTTTATTTGGTTTGTTAAGGTTAGTGAGGGATAAGAAACACCCAACTGGGGTTTTAACTGGTCTCATATTACTTAAGGCTATATGTTCCTATGAATCAGTTAGAAGCTCAGTGATAAGCATAGGAGCAGTTCCTCAATTGATTGAGCTATTGCCCAGTTTGAATAATGAGTGCTTAGAGATAGCACTCTATATTCTAGAGGTATTATCAACCCTTCCTGAAGGAAAAATGGCTTTGAAAGAATGTCCAAACATCATTCCCAATGTGGTCAAGCTGCTAATGAGAGTCTCAGAGAACTGCACCCAATTTGCTTTGTCAATATTGTGGGCTATCTACAAGCTTGCCCCTGAAGAATGTGCATCACAGGCAGTGGAAGCTGGGTTGGCAGCAAAGCTACTGCTAGTAATTCAGAGTGGCTGCAACCCTGTTTTGAAGCAGAGGTCTTCTGAGTTTTTAAAGATGTGTAGTCTGAATTACTCTACTAGTATCTTGATTTCCAAGTGTATGCTCACTACCACAATACAATGAAAAGCTAGAGAAATTTGTTCATAGCTTTATGTACAGCCTATTTTGTTCATATGTTAATGAGATTTCAGATTTTTCCTCCTCCTTTTTTTTAACATTGAGCTACTCTAAATCTACCGTATATGATATAAACCCATTTGTGAGATGATATTGTGTGCTGTTGATATCAAAATTGTTGGAAGCTGAGTTGTGTGATCATAGAAAATGATTTTTTAATGGTCTGGTTCATGCTAATCCATGCTATTCTAGTATTCTCCCTAAATATAATTGGAATTTTTTTCATTTTGTTTTCATAACAAATATTGGTTAAAAAAATTCAAATTGAGATTTCTACAAACTAGACTCTGGACACTGTTTAATGTTTTGAATATTCCCTTTTGTTTTTTTTTTTTGTACCATTTTTCCTTGAACATAATTTCCGTTGTAACTTGGAAGAAGCAAATATTGTTTTGAGAGGACAGAATTACAAGGGTGAGATGTGCCTGCCGGGGGTGCCATTTTACACCCTAAAATGGCTTTAACAAATATTCTGAAAAGCCACCTGGTTTTAACAAAATAATATAAAAATGAGGACAATTGCAGTATTAAATTATCAAATAATTATTAAATGCTTGTGTGTTCTAAAAAGGCAACGAGTCAAGAAGAAAAGGATCTGGATCAGGTGGGTTTAGGTTTGGTCAAGATCTAGAGACTGTACATCGCTATTTATTTGAACAGAGGGAAGACAAAATTTATGACATGTCTATTCATATTTCAAATTTGAAACCAATTGTGCCCTTCCCTTAGGGTTGTGTGGCTGGGCCACTTAACCATCTCAAAACTTTCATGCCATATAGAAAGCCTCTCAATTCACTAGTTATACTTGTAAAAATATTGGAAAAATTATTTATCTTTTTAAATAATATAATTTATATTTTTTTACTCTTATAAAGAGGTGAGACTCACGTCTTTATATTTTTTGTTCACTCTATCTTCTCATTTATCTATCTCTTTCTCTCACTTAAAATGATATAATTTTACCTCCTTTAAAATGATACACACTTTTCTCAAAAATTTAGTTCAAGTTTTAACTTATTTTTGTAGGGTTTGGTGTTTGTCATTTTAAATGACATAAGTTATGTCATTTTAAGAGAGAGATAGATACAGAAAAACGAAAATCATGGGAGAGAGAAAGTTAATGAAATAAAATTCATTTTAATTTTTTTTTAATTTAAAATGACACACTTTTCCCATTTTTTTCAATGTATGTACTAAAATCTGTTTTAAACACATAGATTAAAAATAATATAGTATTTTTAAAGATAAAAATAGTTAAACACAAAACCTTTTTAAATTTTTGAGGAAAAAAATCTTACGAATAATTAACGACTTGTCACGTATAAGTTTTTACTTAGTTTCTAATGATATTTTATTAAAAAAACCAGCATGTTGTCTGTTGCAATTCATTGGTGAACGAGTTTTGAAATTCATAAATAGTACTGCAGTTTTTTAAATAATATTTTTGAATAAATCAATTCGTTTATAATATTAATTATTACATCTATAAAATTGATATAAACACAAATTTAAATATCAATATAACGATTAGAAAGTTTATCATAAAATAATTTCCCAATGAATTTTAAAACATGATACCTCTACGTACAGAAGAAAAACTTATATCCACTGAAGTAATATTAGACATTAGATATTAAAAAAACGTAAAATATCAAAATACAATTTGGGTCAAATAGGCTTGTTTGGATGATTTTTTTCAAAAAAAAAAGATGTAACTTGCTTTTTTTCAAAGTAATTTTTCCAAAAGTTAAAGTTACTTTATGTTTGAATGAAATATACAAAAAAAAAAAAAAACTTTTAAAAAGAGTTATTTGAAAGTTAAAATTATTAAACACTTTTTATATATATAATTACTAAAAAAGATATGTGATAGTAGTCACTACTAGAAAAATACTAATGAAATTTATTGACGAAAAAAATTCGTTGAAATTAGTGATGAAATTTTCGACCGAAAATGTATTCCTACGAAAATAGACACGAAAATAAAGAAAGAACTAGAGACGAAATACATTTTGGTCACTATCATCAAAATAATCTTTTAACGAAAAATATATTTCGTCAAAAAAATTTGAGACAAAAATTAAACTCCGTAAAAAATATGGAAAAGATTATTTTTTCAAAAAATTTCAACGAAATAAGTTTTTTGTTGATAAGTTTTCGACATAATTTGTTTTTTTCAGTCAAAAAATTCAACAAAAAAACTATTGATTTTTAAGTACATTTTACTGGTTAAGGAATTGCATGCTATTTAATCTTATTATGAAATGGTTTTGACATTATGAAAAATCCTAAATTTCGTCCGTGCAATAAAAAGATGTATATAATTGTTTATGGTATTGTAAATACATATTTGAACAATCACATGTGAAGGCAAACAGTCAACTATCAAGAACTGAAAGTGTTTAAGGAGTGGGTGGAGTTAATACGTTCAATTTATAAGTATACAAAAATGATGCTCAGATCCACTCAAATGATAATGGAAATGACAACATATAAATATGTTGCTTTCGAAATCTATATAATCTTGATAGAATTAAGCTTTGAACAAAAAAAAAAAGTACTTCATCCAAAAATTTAACAATTCACTTGGACAAACAAGGAAAGTCATTTATGTGAATAGATTGATAGCTACAAAATTGTTCGAGGGACCAGATATTCCGTCGAAAATTTATACAACAGTTTTCGACAAAATCCATTGATTTTTCATCAAAAAATTTCAATGGAATTTCAATGATTTTTCCTCGAAATGTTTTGACATGATTTCATTGATTTTTCTTCGAAACTTTGCGACAGAGTTTCATTGATTTTTCATTGAAAATTTTGGATGGATTATGTTTTACATCAAAAACTTTAACGAAATTTTCGATGAAATTATGGTAAAATTTAATAGCAAATTTAGACGAAACTTTTTGACATGAATATATTCTGTCGAAAAAATTGTTGCCGACGGAATTTTTCAATAAAAAAAATTGAATTTTTTTAGTAGTAATTGATGGTAGGATGGAATGGTTAGAATAGGGTCAGGGTAAATATGAATTTTTTAATAAATATTTAACTTTTCACTTTTACTTTTTTAAAAGCCAGGACTCCTGAATTTAAAAAAATATTTTTTTAATTTTTTTAATTTTTTTTAATATTGCTATCCAAATGCATAAAATCATTCAAAAAGATTTTTTATTTTGAAATTTTTTTAAAAAAAAACCATTCAAACGCACACTAAACCCTCTTAATTTGTGACATGCATAGAACCAAATTTACTAGTTCACAAGAATTTTCACTTGGTCCGACTCAACTTGAAATTGAATTGACACGCACCGACCCGAATAGGTAACGGTGCTCCAAATTTAGACTTGTACTTAGGGTTGCTAAATCAATCAGGGGTCTTAGGCTCGACTCGTGAAGGCTTGAGCTTACATATCTAAAATTGATTGTTGAAACCAGGCTTGAACTTGTATTAAAGCTCGTTTAATAAAAAAGTCTCAGACTCTATTTGAAAAGCTCAGCCTCAAAGCCTTATAGGCTGGTCTAGTATACTAATTTTTATTTTTATTTTATATTTTTTATAATATTCATAATAACTCTCTCTCTCTCCTCACCCATTTCACCTCATTTTATTAGTTAAACAATTTTTTTGAATGTTTTTGTTCTACATTATGCTTTTCGCATATACATTGAATTTATGAATCTTTGTGAAGTTATTAGTGTTGTTGATCATATATTTTGTTTGAATAAATTTTTGTTATCTTATTTTTTTTAACAGGCTAAATAAGGCTTAGTTTTTATAAATAAGACAGGTCACAAGCCGATAATTATATTCATAACAGGTAACAGGCTAGGTCAGGCTGACACATTTAAACACAGACTTAGCCTTTTAAAATCAAAGCTTAATTCGACTCGACCCGTTAACATCTCTAGTTGTACTTATCTTGAATCGAAGCAGCAGCTTTTCTTACCCACACCGTGGAGAATGAGATGCATCAATCTATGAAGCACCGACACTTCAAAAATTCTGACGTGTCGTGTCCGACACTTCACGACACTCCAACACACATTATATAAATTCAAAAAAAAGTTCAAAGTTTGCATTGCGTTGAGTTTTTAGTTTCAACTATTAGATTCGTTGGATTACGATTACCATTTTATTGAGTTTAATATACATATTCGGGATATCTTATGTTTCTTTGCAAAATTGATGAATATTGTAAGTTTAGTTTCATTTTTTTGTTAAATTATTGAATATTAAATATAATATACACTATATAAATTAAAAATATTATTTAATATTAAAACGTGTCCTAACATATCGAAATCTAACATTTTTTAGAATTAATATGTCGGAGTGTCGCGTCGTGTCGTGTCACGTGTCCCGTGTTAGTATCGGTGCTACATAAGCATCAATCACATGGTGAGTTAGTGACTTGAGAGTTATGATGTCAAAACTTTTTACATTTATGTCTCGGGAATTATTTTTCGCATCGGCATCGTTGCAACTAAATCACAATTTGCTTAATTTATAATGGATTTTATTTTTCTCATGTTACATGAGATAAATTATCTCATGCAACACAAAAAAAAATATATGAGATTCACTAAAATAAGAGAGAAAAAATAAAAAAAATAAGTTCCACCCATTTTTGTGTGTGTTGCATGAAACAAATATATTTGTTATAAAACTCATTTATAATTGTTATAACCTTTAACCTTATAAATTAGTGACACCATACCTCAAATCAGTGGCGGAACCAGGCTCCAATTGGAGCTTGGGCCAAAAAATTACATATGTATTTATTTTCTTAATTTTAATTTGTTTATATCATAATATATTTAAATTATATTAAATACAAAGTAACTGATCAGACATCATCAAAAAAAGTTATAATTTTATTAAATGTATTTTAATTTTTTTATATAAGTGGAATTGGCACACATAATTTAATGCAACTTAT